TTCAACGGTCCACGTCAACGCCATCACAATGAAACGGGATGTCGCCGATGGAGCTGACGTGTACGCAGTGGATATAGCAGTAGTGGAGGAAGCAGAGCAGCCGAACGATTTTCAGAAACTACTGGCAGCGGTACCACCCAAACTACAGGAATTGTTGAAACGGTACCCGGGGATTTTTCCCGACGGCTTACCGGAGGGACTGCCACCGCAGCGAGCACACGACCACCGAATAGAGTTAGAACCCGGGGCACAGCCAACCGTACAGCGACAGTTCAGACTGACATAGCCCGAGCTCGATGAACTGAGGAAGCAGTTAGATTACCTGTTAGAGAAGAAGTTCATTCGACCGAGTTCATCGCCGTTCGCCGCACCGATACTGTTCACACCGAAGAAAGACGGAGGGTTCCGCATGTGTATTGACTACAGAGCACTGAACAGGGTAACAATCAAGTCGCGATACCCCATTCCCCGCGCCGACGAACTGATAGATCAACTGCGAACAGCACGGGTCTTTTCGAAAATTAATTTACGGGGAGGTTACCACCAGATCCGGGTCGAACCACCAGATTGCGCCAAGACAGCATTTAGGACTAGGTACGGGTCATTCGAGTACACAGTGATGCCTTTCGGGCTGACCAACGCACCGGCGACATTCCAGATGACCATGAACGAGGCGTTTAGGCCGCTCTTAGATAAATGCGTGATAGTTTACCTCGACGACATCTTCGTCTACGGCCGCGATAAGCAGCAGCACTCAGCAGATCTGGAAGCAGTTTTTAAGGTTTTAGATGAGCACCGCTTACTGACCAAGGGTTCCAAGTGCGAGTTTTTTCAGGACAGGTTAGAATTTTGGGGACACGTTATTTCGGAGGCTGGGGTTGAAATCGACCCGAAGAAGCTGGACACGGTAAAAGCGTGGCACCCCCCAACAAATATCACGGAGCTACAGAGTTTTTTAGGGTTCGTTAATTACGTGCGTCGGTTCGTCCCCGACATGGCAAGGTTAACAGCCCCACTGACGGATCTGCTGCGGAAGGGGGTCGTTTTTATGTGGGGGGAGAAAGAGCACGCTGCCTTCTCTGCCCTTAAAACTGTTCTCTGTTCACCGCCCGTACTGCGCATCGCTGACCCACACCGCCCCTTCGAAGTAGTTACACACCTACAGGATTTCGGCAACGGCCCACAGCCCATCGCATACGAATCACGAAAGCTGCATCCGCCCGAGAAAAATTACCCGATACACGACCGCGAAATGCGCGCGATCGTGCAAGCGTTCAAGGTGTGGCGCTGCTACCGGACCGGCGCAGACGTGACAGTACGGGCAGACCACCGATCACTACAGTACCTCAGCGCACAGCCCCACCTCAACCCTCGACAGATTCGCTGGCTCGACTTTCTCGAGTCAAACTTCCACTACACGGTCACCTATAAAAAGGGAGCATCGAACATTGCCGACGCACTGACCCGCCCTACTGCCCAAATCCACGCGATACTACTTGCCCAGACCAGCCCACTACTGACAGGCCTATTTACCCACGGATACCAGACAGACCCGTTCTTCACAGGCGGAAATTCGCAGCAGTTCGCAGCAGTAAAAGGAGTTTATTACGTAAAAGCCGGCACCGACCGCATCTGGGTACCGGGCTACACTTTACTAAGGGAGCTGTTACTACAGGAGGCACACGACGGGGTTACCTCAGGACATTTCAGAGTAGAAAAAACACGACAGCAGCTGCAGCGGTATTACTACTGGCCCGAGATGCTGACCGACGTACAGCGGCACGTGGCATCGTGTCCCACTTGCCAGCTCATGAAATCATCACGGAAACGGCCGGCAGGACGGTTGCAGCCGATACCACCCCTAGAGCGTGCTTGGCAGCAGGTGACGATGGACTTTGTCACGGGGTTACCGGCCGGAGCAAGTGGGAACGACGCGATCCTGGTCGTCGTCGACCGGCTGACGAAATTGGCACATTTCGCAGCCTGCAAGAAATCGATCACAGCCCGCCTCTTCATCTCCACCGTCATTCGACTGCACGGGATACCAGCATCGATTATCAGCGAGCGCGGCACGAAATTCACCAGCAACTTCTGGCGGAACTTGTGGCAGCAGTTCGGCACGCGACTACAGTTTAGTTCCTCGTACCACCCCGAGACCGACGGACAGACAGAAAGGACAAACCAGACCATGGAACAACTCATCCGAGCCACGTGCGACGACCCGACCACGTGGGAACAGCAACTGCCACTCATCGAATTCGCGTACAACAACTCGCCATCCGCCACGACCCAACAGTCACCGTTCTACCTGAACTACGGACAAGACCCCACAGTACCCATGACCCCGAATCCCGACAACCCAGTCCCACGTGCGCAACAGTTCGCAGAAATACTGCAAGCAGCACGGACCCGAGCAGCAGAAGCAATAAAAAAATCAAACATCATCGCTAAACGCAACGCTGACCGCCACCGCCGACCTGTCACTTACCAGCCCGACGACCTAGTTTTACTCGACACTCAAAACCTCCGCCTGCCCATCACCCCAAAACTCCGCCCCCGATATTGCGGGCCATTTCGCATCAGCCACATGATCACACCCGTCACCGCCCATCTCCTCCTCCCTGCTGACTGGTATGTCAGCCCGTCATTCCACGTCAGCCTGCTTCGCCCATACGCGCCATCCACCAGCCAACTGCCTCGCAACCGCCCCGCCAGCATGACACGACCGCCGACAGAGCCAATCATCACGCCCGAAAAAATATTGAGCCACCGAGTACGTGACCCACGGGAAGCCCGCAGAATCGAATTTCTGATCCGCTGGAAAGACCGCACGCCCACCGAAGACAACTGGGTCCCCCTAGATAGAATTGAGAATCACCCTGTCCTCACTGAGTATCTGCGTAGCCGAAACTTTCGAGATGTACACGCGCTCTCGTAAGAGGGGCCTCCTTGGGGAGGGGGGTAGTGTAAGGAAATTCCTTTTCCTTACGTCGCGTCCCTGCTTACCGCGTACATGTCCGTTCCCGCCATCGGCACCCATCCATGAACGTTAACCGTTCACGACATCCGCCTCGACCACGACTCCCGCCACTGTTCACGACGCGACCCAACCTAACGGTTCGGTTGGTAACCCGCGCTCCGGACCTCCGCCTCGACAATTCCCCAACCCTCGGCGCTAGGCCCGTAGCGCACCCCAATTTCCCACATTACCGTTACCACGCTAGCTTCGCTATATAACTTCGCTCATGCTTTTCGCTCAACTGCATTGATTGCTTCGATAGTGCAATTCTCACTCGCTCGTTCAATTGCACTCGTAAGAGTGACTTCACATATGAAAGTCTTAGCTTAATCGTGATAGTAGCCAGCGTTTTTAAGCATCCGATTTTGTCTTCGTAACGAAATTGGGCTTTTTGCGATGGACAGAAGGCGACTTGTGATTGTCATGCTCGTTGCCTGTCACGTGGCGCCAAATCCCCATCGCCTTGGAGATCTCATACCAGCCGCTCAAACCATACATGTCGAGCCTCGCCAGTGAACCCAAGAGAGCCATGTCTTTTTTTCCGGACCTCTGCCGAACCTACCGATCTCTTCCAGCTTCGGATGAAACCAGGCCAAGCTCGGACTAATCTCTAGGTCAGGTGCACTTACCTGGTGAAGGTAGCTAGCGAGGATCCCTGAGTAGAGTCAGTACAACCAAGAGATTACCTCTAAGTCAGCTTTTCGGCTAAGTTCCCTTTGGGTGGTTCTAGGTTTTCTTTAGAGAACGCCTGGCTTGAAGCGTCCATGGCACTTACCTCTCTAGAATTCACCCGTTCGTGAGTCATCGCACTAGAGCTTTTTGTTGGACACATCAGCCTGATCGCATCCTGGAAATGAGACATCACCTGAATCAGGATCAGGTCTGAAGGATAATAAGGACATCATCGGATCAAATCACATCAATTGGATCGTAACGATGCATACGGATCAGCTGCGCTTTTCGCAGTCAGGTGCGCCGTCGAATGCGCCGTCATGTGCGGCAGATACGATCCACCTTCACTCGCAGGCTCTTCCTTCTGAAAGCAGAAAGCCAGACGCCTTTTCCACGCCTGCACAGCCGAGTGTAACCAGTTACCACATTAGCCAGGATGGTTACCACGGTTGTCATGGTGGTTACCATTCTGCAGTAATTGGCCGGCTATCACCAACCACACGCTCTCCTCCAATCCAACCCACCACGCGGCAAAATCTGGGACTGTATGGGCCGGTGCGTCATGCAGTAGCGCGGATACACTCTCACGTCCATTCACCTTCCACAGATACAATCGGACGGCTGCAGCTGCATCATACATCCCCAGATACGATCGAACGGCTACAGTTGAGCGGCATGTCCCTCCGAACCACCACCAGCCGCGAAACGACGGAAACCCTAGTATCGGACACAGCAGCAACTGTAGCAAGCGCACCAGCGCAAGCGGCGGCGGCGGGCCCGGCGGTCCCGGCGGCTCCGGCGGCGCAAGCGGCGCAGGCTACGCAGGCGGCGCAGCAGCTGGCGCGGTGGCGGCAGCAGCAAGGCGCGAGCTGGCAGTCGTTCGCGCTCGATCTCGCCCTCGGCGGCGCGTTAGGCGGCGTGTCGCACACGGTCGTGGCGCCGATCGAGCGCGTGAAGCTGCTGCTGCAGACGCAGGACAGCAACGCCGCCATCCTCGCGGGGCAGCACCGGCGGTACCGCGGATTCGTCGACGCGGTCACGACGATCGTGAAAGAAGAAGGCTTCTGGGCGCTGTGGCGCGGGAACGGGACAAGTGTTATGCGCTACTACCCGTCCCTCGCGCTCAATTTTGCCTTCAAGGTCAGTCCTGAGAGGTCTGTGTGAGTCTGTGCGGCGTTTCGCGTCGGTTTGTGAGGTCTGTTTGCGGTCTGCTAGGCACCGGCGGTACCGCGGGTTCGTGGACGCCGTCACGACGATCGTGAAGGAAGAGGGCTTCTGGGCGCTGTGGCGAGGGAATGGCACCAGCGTTATGCGCTACTACCCGTCGCTCGCGCTCAACTTCGCGTTCAAGGTTCGTCTATGAGGGGTTTGCACGGTCGCCGTCTTGTGTGTTAGGCGAGGGATTGTTACAGACTGTCCCTGGTCGGTCTGTGTGGTATGTTTGCGGTCTGTTTGGGGTCTGTGTGCGGTCGGTTTGCGGTCTGCGAGGCACCGGCGGTACCGCTGCATCTCATCGTCTCGTGTAAGTGGCAGTGGCGCTGTTTGAATCTGCTCAGGATTCCCCCACACTTCCTCTGTCTTTCTGCTGAATCCCCTCCCCGGTCCCCACCTTGGTTCCCCGCCCTCGGTTCCAACCCACTCCTGCGCCCCTCCCCCCCGCGCGCAGGACTACTTTCGCGTTCTCTTCGCCCCGTCTCACCTACGTTTGAGTTAATTCAATTGCCCCAACCCCCACCTCCTCCCACTTGCGTCTCCCCGATCCCTCCTTCGTCCACCCCTTCCCGCCTTTGTCCCCCACCCCTCCCGCACACAGGACTACTATCGCGTACTCTTCGCCCCCTCGCACCTACTCACAGATCCTTCCGCCACGCGAATCGCAGCAGGAAACTTCCTGGCAGGCGCAGCTGCAGGAGCCACTAGCCTCCTAGTCACGTACCCCCTAGACGTGGCGCACACGCGCCTAGCCACCGATATAGGCACGCGCAGGCAGTTTGGAGGTATGCGATCCGTTATAGCGGCGCTCTGGCGGGCGGAGGGTATCCGAGGCTTATATCGCGGATTTCCTGCGTCTGTGCATGGGATTATCGTGCATAGGAGTCTGTACTTTGGCGGGTTCGATAGTGCCAAGCAGCTGCTGTTGAAGGGTCACGGCGGAGGGCGGGGAGGAGGAGAGGGAGGAAGAGGGGACGGAGGAGATGGAGGAGGAGGGGGAGGAGGGGCAGCGCTAGTAGGGGGAGGAACGAGTGGAGCAAACAGTGAGGTGATGAGAGGAGAAAAGAGAAGGGCTGGAGAGGAGGATGGGGGTGGGAATGGGGACGGTTTGGGGCACGCGCCGTTCTGGTTGAAATGGATGTTGGCACAGGCAGCAACGACCACGGCTAGTGTGGTGTCTTACCCGTTTGACACCGTGCGACACCGCATGATGATGCAAGCTGGGCTTGCAAAGCCGAGGAGAGGCGAAGCAGGGCGAGCAGGGTCGGCAGGGGGAGGTGGAGGAGGAGTAGGAGGAGTGGCAGCGGTAGCAGCAGGAGCAGAAGCAGCCGCAGCAGGAGCAGGAGCAGGAATGGGATTAGCTGCAGCCGTTGCAGGAGCTCAAGCAACGCCTGGTGTGAATCCTGCTGTTGCCACCAGCATGCATGTTGCACAAGCACCCAACGTGCGAGTGTCCGCGCCAGCTCCCTGTCCCTTAAGCCACTCGTTCGACAGCCACCCGCTACAGCACGTGCAGCTGCAGAGCCCTGCACTCAGTCAACCAGGTCAACAGAGTCTACTGAGTCAAGCAGGTCAACTGGGTCAACCGAGTCAACTGATTCATCTGGGTCAAATTAGTCAAATGAGTCAACTGGGTCAAGCTGGTCAACTAGGTCAAACAGATCGAGCAGGTCAACCCAGTCAACCCAGTCGACCGGGTCAACCACAGGGCAAGGCTCAACAGCACCAGCAACCTCAGCAGCAGCAACCGGGACGAAAGATAGTGGTGTTCAAGAGCACGTGGGCGTGCTGGAAGCACGTGTATCGGCAGGAGGGGGTGCTGGGGTTCTATAAGGGGCTCTTCAGCAATATCCTGAGAGGCGCTGGGGCGGCATTCATTCTCGTCATGTACGACGAGGTTCGGCAGTTTGTGCACGGGGATAAGGCACTGTAATGAAGGTCGTGAAAAGCAAGCATCGGTGAATATTTGGAACAGTTGCCATGGTAGCCACATTGGTTGTGGCTTTCTCACATGGGTGGTGGTAATCACATCAGTCTGGTATCCCCATCATTTATGGTAACCACATTCTTGATGGCTTCACAACAGCAACAGCAACCAGGGCAGCAGCAATTGCGAGAGAGCCAGCTCAGCAGCATTTGTTGTAGCTTCAGCTGTAGCAGCAGAGTAGAAGTTTAGAGCCCTAGGCATAGTGACAGGATGCAAAGTGGGGGTGGTATGATATTTTATTTTTGACATTATTCACTTGGTTTCTGTCTGCACCCATTCATATCTAATTTGATTCTGATCAGCCACACCAGATTTGCCATCCATATTATTTCCTTGTGAAGACCGTATATACAGGGTCCCCATTCCTTCGACCATGTGCTTACACATCTTGCTCACTTCATATCGTGCGCTATATGCTCTGCTCTCCTCTCAGGAGAGTCACCCTTCAAGTATCGTACGGTAATCTCTTTGTATTTTGTTGGAAACAATCGATCTTAAGCGCCTCTGTCGTGTCGAAACACTAAGGCACAAACGAAGCGAAGCATATCGAAGCACCGGCGAGTCAACCCTCGGAGGTTGAAAACAACTGTTGGAGGTTACGCGAAAGCCAAAGGTCAGCGACCTTTGACCTGACAGAGTACAGCGCGACAGCAAGGACACACAACTGACTCGCTACAGAGCAGTTGTCCGAGTCGTCACTGTATCGAACCGCAACAGCAAACAGTAAAGTAGTTACAACCGTATCCCTTCGTATTCCTTGTACTCTTATATAATCTTGTATCTCTTTGCTTTAATCAATCTACTTTGCCCTCACATACTAGCGCAAGGTGGTTCACAACTCTTCATTTAACGCTTCCGCTATTACATCAGTCCTACCCAGAGTTCACCCCTGCAAAGATCCTAAGGGCTATTTTCTCAGCCCAACATGGTATGAGAGCTATCAGGGGGAAATCAACTATCAAGACACCTACAACATCAACAGGCATGGCTACACAAAAGGAAAGGAGCTCCTCCAACGGCTCCCAGGGCACTACTCCTACTCCACCTCCTGCCTCTGGCCTACAGACAGAGGAGGGTACGGCAACAAGACCCAGGGCAACATCCACCGAAACTCCCATAAACCAAGCCGCGGGCTTCGACCCAAGTATGATGGAGAAGTTCTTCTCCTTCATGTCTTTCTACGAGCAACACCAGCAATCGGCACCTGCGCAGTCACACAATAGCAACAACAACGGAGCAACTCCCATGAGTCTCGACGGCTCATCATACGCACGAGGAAATCAACAGCAGCCTACCTTTGCTCCGTACGAGCGCGGGTCCATTAGCTTTATGCCACACCCGCAGCCTTCACCTGGACAAGAAAATCCACTGGACGCATTACAAGTTCAGTCGCAGTTCGCGCACGTTCTGAAGATGCAGACGTCAAGACCTTTCGATGGAAAGGATTTCTTCACCTGGTCGTTTGAATTCGAGTTAATGATGGAAGGCGCGCAGATACTTGGCTTCTTCGACGGGTCCCTGCCATACCCAACAAACGGCACACAGTATGAGAAGCAGCAGTACACCTATCAATCGATGATGGCGTACACGATTCTACTGAGAAACATCACCCCGACTCAACAGCAGAATATACGGTCTTACCGGGGTTACGGCAACTCCGCGGAGCTCGCATACAACCACTTGAAGAGCCTGTATCAAACAACCGAAACCCGTACCTCCGTTCTGCCACATCTGCAAGACGTCAGGGCACCCGCGCACGCACTGCCCGAATCGACAACAGTCAACGCCTTCACAGCGACAGCTTCGACCTTCAAGCAATCAAGTCGCCTCAACACAAGCAAATCCTACGACCCAGATTAAAGCCTCAACGACCTCAACAGGACAACCTGCACAAGGAGCAAGGAACATCGTCAGTTGCATGGCAAGACTGAGCGACTCTTGCATCACGAGATCACCACCGTACTACTCACCGGAAGAACAACTCGACGACACCACACCTCACCGCGATTCACTCCTGCCGAATCCGACATACGCAGCCATCGCCCAAAGCGAACCATCCGGAAAGGACACGTGGTTCTTGGACAGTTGCTGCGGACAACACATGTGTTCTTCAGGACGCTTCGTGCAACGAGAGAACCAACTCCAACGCGAAGTAGTCATCACCGTCGCCAACAACGAAAGCCTGCGCACACGACGACAAGGAATTGTTCAACTACAGTCACGAGAGACAAATGTCATACTACAAATGTCCAAGGTCTTAATCGCAGAAGGCCTCGGCTACAACTTACTCAGCGTTAGCCAACTGATGACTAAAGGTATCCACCTTGAAGCAGACAGCACCTCTCAGGAGTTCAAGCTGTACCACGGGAAGGGCGGTCTCTACATCGGAAAGGCGATACTGAAAAATAACGTCTTCGTTCTTGATTTTGTTCCAGATCTTGGCACAGCAGACAGCGACGGCATCGTCACCTTCACTTCCTGGACCCACCCTCCAGACCTTGATCCAGACTTCAGCCCCGGCGGCTTCTGGTATTCACACACCATCCCTGAGGCAGAAAGAACAAGGGCGTTAGCAACAATTCAAACAACATCGGCAGCAACAGAGATAACATCGGCAGCAGCAGAGACAACATCGGCAGCAGCAGAGACAACATCGGCAGCAGCAGAGACAACATCGGCAGCAGCATAGACAACATCGGCAGCAGCAGAGACAACATCGGCAGCAGCAGAGACACCATCGGCAGCAGCAGAGACAACATCGGCAGCAGCAGAGACAACATCGGCAGCAGCAGGAACGTCAACGCCAGTCGCTGGTCCTTCAACGGCACCACTCCTCGTCGACGACACACCACCAACACCCGCGCAACAACTACACCCAGCACCACGAGAAGTTCATCGAAGCGCCAACTTCACCGCCAGCTTCTATTCCAACTCCGATATGTATCGGCGCTCACCCGGACATCGCGCCACCGAAGGAACCTGGCACGCAAGAATGGGACATCCAAGCAACACGGTGTTAAACAACACAATAAGAGCAGGCGTACTCGATAAAGACTCTCTACTCCTAACTGATGGCAGAGAACTTCAGCGAGCTCGAGGAACATGCTTCACCTGTCCCGAAGCTGGCTTACCACATTAACCGTTCGCGTCTCACCACAACCCAAGCGCACCAGCTTACGCACCACTCGAGAAGGTGTACAGCGACATCTTGTACAACCGCGAGCCTGGACAAAACGCGTACAACTACACCATCACCTTCATCGATGCCGCCACACGATACGTCTGGCATCTAAACCTTCCGAGCAAAGACATGGCCTTCGAAGCCTTCGTCGCGTGGCTCCCAGTAGCAGAGCGAGAATCGGGCGTCAAACTGAAGAGCTTCCAGTCAGACGGGGGAGGAGAATACACCTCACAAAGGTTCAAGCAGTACTTGGCTGAAAGAGGAATCAAGCGGCTCATCTCCCTTCCTTACGCCCATCAACAGCAAGGAGTAGCAGAGAGGATGAACAGGACCCTCCAGAACACCATGCGCAAGCTGCTACGTGGCATGCACCTGCCCAACCACCAGTGGCCCGAAGCAATGGACCACGCCGTCATGCTGCACAACTTGCTCTCGTCATCATCGCTCCCGAACAACGCATCACCGCACCTGCTGTGGACAGGAAAGCAGGGCAGCACAAAAATGTTAAGAGTCTTCGGCTGCATGGTACAGTACCGGCCCCCATCCGCACGAGCCGGCCGATTCTCTCAACGCGCACAGTGGGGGCTACACCTGTGCATTGAAAAGCATTACAACGCATGGAAAATTTTCGACGTCGAGACAAAAGAGACAGTGGCAGCACGTGACGTCATTTTCTACGAAAACCTCACCCTCCGGTATTACCTTGCCAACTTGCAAGAAGAAAACCCCGATCGCTCCGCTGGTTTTCAAGGCACCCGAGCCTTCGCCTCGGCAGACGACGAAGCTGACTGGGACGAGCAGAACGTGGAAGGAGCCTCGGAAGAAGCCGGACCCCTCCCCTACTGCTCGGTCGACGTGCCAATGGACGACGAAAACCCACGCGAAAGCATCAACGCCGACGCCTATTACCATTTCGCTGACAACGGTTACGTTACACCTGCACAAGTCAACACCAACGAAGCAGAACGCGTAGGACCTAATTTCGCACCTGATCCAGAAGCGGGAGACGAAGCAGTTTATCCCGAGGACACTTCACTCCCCCGCTAGACACAGAGTGGACTCCAAATCCTTGGTCTCGTCACCGCAGTTCACGGCGCAGCCATTCCTAAAGAGCCTGCGACAGTTCAACAGGCTCTGGGGGGGGAACATAAGGAAAAATGGCGCGAAGCCATGGACAGAGAACTAAAGGCGCTGGAGGAACGCAACACCTGGAAGGTCGTCCCTATCGGCGTAGCACGTAACAAAACAGTACTCACCGGAAAATGGGTCTTCCGTGTAAAGACAAAGGCTGACGGCACCATCGACAAGTTTAAAGCTCGCTGGGTCGTACGCGGCTTCGACCAAGAACACGGACGCGACTTCACCGAAACATTCGCTCCGGTCAGTCGACACACTTCACTCCGAATCCTCCTCGCGATCGCCGCCATGAAGAAGAAGAAGCTGCGACAAATCGACGTCGCGAACGCATTCCTCTACGCACCTGTTGACGCAGAAATTTTCGTCGAATTACCGCACGGCTCCAACGGTGAGCCCAATCAAGTCTGTCAGCTGCTGAAGTCGCTCTACGGCATCAAGCAAGCTCCACGGCTATGGAAACAATACCTGCACGCTCGCCTCATTTGCATCGGCTTCAAACAACTACTGCATGATCAGGGCATGTACCGGCTCACGAAGAACACCGACTACATCCTGTTAATCGTCTACGTAGACGATCTACTCTACATCGGCTCGACCGACGGCATCACAACCTGGTTCGAAGGGGAGC